GGNCAGCGTCATATATATATATATATATATATATATATATATTGTAGCATCCACACCTGTTTTTAAGTAATGACTGTGTAAATAACGCCCATTGCTGGGCAACAGATTCCTAACAGTTGCCAATGGGCTGGCTGGAAAATGGCGTTTTCTGCATGGTCTTCTCTGATGGTTGCACATGCAACAATGGATACAGCAGCAGAAGAAATGTGTTTTCGGTGTGGTCTGTGCATACATGTTATAAGGAGGACAATTAATGAGCACAGTGAAATTGAGCACAGTTGAGTGAAGTGGAGTGAGTTGGTTGGTGAGTGAGTGAGTGAGTGAGTGAGTCAGAACACCAATGTAGTTCAGTCATTGTAAACTGCTGCTGTTAGAAGCTGAGGAAGCTATGGTTTTATGAGCCATTACCAGACAACCGGTGAAAACACAGCAGACTGAAAAGACTTAGTGCGTGATGTAGTGAATTGCAGGGTGTGTAAATTAGCAATAGCACTATAGTTACTTGTAGTTACATTCCATAGGTAGTCAGTAAATCCAATTACCAATTCAAACCCCATCTATAGTCACTCATACATATGACATGCATATACACACATACACACACCCTATTAGATACAAGATCAGATCCTAGATGTCGGTTTTCATACATAAGAGAAATTAAAGAAAGGTTTAGAAAGGAAATATATAAATTTCAGATAACTTATGGCTGCTTTGGATTCTGAAATTAAAGGTTATGAGTCTATGTAAGAAAGTATAAGATCTCAGATCATCAAGTTAATGAAGATTTTTACTTAAATTTACATATGAATATGTCAAAAGATAATCTACAGTTATATTGTTCTGGGTTACATTGATAACGATACTCGTTTCAACCAAATCTTTCTTTTGACAGTAAAATCAGTCTATTATGGGCCTGCTAAGCCAAATTTTATAATAACTGAGTGTTACATTAATCTCCATGACTGTCTTGTGCTCCTTTGAGGTACACTAGGATTTTAGTGTGTGGTTGCTTATGACCATCCTGGCAGATATTGCTGTATTAAAATTATTTTAGTCCAATATACAGGGCAGGGGTATATGTCCTATTACAAGTGGCAGGGGGGGTTGACACACCCAGTCTCAGAGCCCCTGGGGCCACACAAATTTTGCAGATTGTGTACATTTTTAATTTATATTTCATGTCTATCAACTTTTAATACTACTCATATTTATTTCAAATAATATATTTCTGTCTCCAATGCAACTTATTATTAGTCACCCTATCTATGCACAGACTGATTAATTCACAGGCAGTGTGAAGAACGTGCAGGCAAAGGGGCATACATAAGAGAAATGATAACATTACACCAACATCCTTAAGAACTACACAATAATATGCACAAAATCCATGCCACTGGGGATGCTGTGCAAAAAATCCAAAACAAGAGAATATTGCTTAAATGAATGGACCATAAGGATGACATGCAATATTAATTAATTTTAATTAGTTTTAATTAATTTTAATTTAGGTAAGTTAATTCTAATCAAGAATATTGTGTTCATATGCGATGTAAAATTTGGACATAATATACAGTGCGATAATTTTTGCGAGATAGAAAATACCTGATGATGGCTGTACTGGTATACAGCCAAAACATGTTGTGAGGAAGAAGGGTTACTAATAGTAAGTTGTGTTGGAGACAAATACATATATTATATGAAATAAATGATATATTAATGCAACATGATGCTTAAATAGAATCTTTCAATATTATTTTCATTCTTGTCATTTCTTGCAGTAATTACATAATGTATCTAATAATACTGTATTAATTAGACGCCTATGTATTTTGAAGCAATTTTGACTTGCGTAGAATAAAGTAAGTGAGACAATTTTTTCAGTTTAATTTATGGATAATGATCTGCTGTGGTTACAGCTGGCATTGGGTGGGATGATGGTGTCTGGGTATGAGAGTCTGTGGTATAATTGCGTATATTTAATTTGCATCAAGGTTTCAAGGAATGATGCTATGGTACTGGATCATGGGTGGGCAAAGTAAGGAATAATTTAAATATTATTAATAATGAAACCATGATTCAACTGTTACATGCTCATGGGCACTGTGACAGAACTTAGGGAGGTGAGTGGCAAGAATAGAAGGTACATGAAGTAACTCAGGTTCATGTTGAATGTTCAGTTTTTGTATTAACACTGTTGACCATTCTGGTTCTGCTACCATTGTGTTAATTAGTAAATAGGAAAACTACAACCAAGAGTTGGTGGAGGTGCAAATTGTGAGATCTCTAGTATGCATACTGCACAGTCAACTTCCCACTTAATTTCTTAAACTTAAGGTTTTCCCTCATTTAATAATCAGTCTCAGTGATACCAAGTCAATAATCAGAGTGCTAACTTCTCTCCTTCTGAGAGTTATAATTTTGAATGCAAATGATTTAATGTCTGAGGAGCATATTCACATAAGTAATGTAAATTATGAATTTCAGACATCAAAGTAGATGTTTTACTACCTGGTTTTTCTTTCCTGTACTGGGGCCAATCTGAAAATTTGCATATTAGTATTCATCATCCATTCATCTGTAATCTGTCAAGACGACAGGTCCACAGTCTCTTCCAAAACAGTTCCTCCACTTGATGCGATCTAGAGCTTTCTCCTTCAAATGAAAATATCCTCTTCTGTCCCCAAGGTCGTCCAGCATCTTCTTACGTGTTCTTCCTCGTCTTCTGGTCACTTCTATCCACCCCTCTATCTTTCCTTCAATAACTTCTTTTAGAAGGCTGTTACCGTGTAAGATATGACCAATCCAATTAGCCTTCCAGTTTCTTATTTCATATAGGGTATGCCTCTCCTCACTGACTCTAAAATAACACTTCTTCATTTCTCACATAATCGGTCCAACTGATCTCCTCCATCCTTCTCAAACACCACATTTCGAAGCTTTCCAGATGTTTCTGATCTACTGCACTAAGTGTCCAAGTTTCAGCCCCATATAAAGCGATGCTCCAAACTTAGCATTTCACTAGTTTCTTTCTCAAATGTAAGTCCAGTTTGCTGGTAAAAAGATTCTTCTTATTGCTAAATGCAGCTTTTGCCATGGCAGTCCTAGATTTAATTTCACTAGTACACCTTCCATCATCCGTTAACATGCTACCCAAATATTTAAAACATTTCACATTCTCCAGTTGTGTTTAGTCTATCTTTATTGTGACTGGGGTAGGTTGTCTCGAAATTTTCATTACTTTTGTTTTTTCCACATTCATTTCCATGTCATAGCACCTTCCAATTTCGATTAGTCTATCAGTCATACCCTGTAGCACAGTTTCTTCCTTAGCCATTAACACAAAGTCATCTGCAGTAAATGGTACTGAAAATGGCTTTATACACTGAAGGAAGAAATGGAAACATAATTTTCTCTTACATTTTCCATGTCCCAAATTTCTCAGTGAACTGAATTTTCAATTGCACAGATCGATGTTCAGTGTGAAAGTTGAGGTTCTCATGCTGAGGACTATAATGATACTGAATATGTATAGTCTGATAGAACATTGCAATGTTTTGGAAGAATTTGTTGCTTTCATCTTCATCTCATACATTAAAGACAGAGGCAGCAGGTTCCTCTGAAATAATAGCAATGATCCAGCAGACTGCATGTTGTCACATACCAGAAGACAGTAATCTTCAGTATTTAATGTCTCTGGAAAACGAGCTATTACGCTTGTTCTCAGCATAAATAGTATATACAGCAATACCTTGCATAGTCCAGGTAATCGGTTCTGCCAATATCCCGGATTGTTTGAAACCAGACTAATCGAGGAACTAAATACACACAAAAAATTATAATTGGTTCCAAAAAAAATCGTCATTTTTCAATAAATAAAATGCGATTAATAAATTCAAATGTCTTTATTAGAAATAATTGTAAAAAATTAATGTTTTTCGCAATTCATTTTTTATTCTCTAAAAATTGCAATATTGATGTCTGCACATTTTTCTTCTATGGCCTTTTCTCTTCATACATTTCTTTGTAGCAACAAATTGCATTGTTTATCGTTCGGCGAATTGTAAGGCTATGTTCAATACTGGAATCATCTTCCATAATATGCTCTGACAAGGTTTCAACCATTCCAGTAATTTTTTATAGTTGTTCAGCTGTTAATTCTAGTGCACTTCAACACAGTCATCATTATCTAAGTTGTCCTCCAGTTCTTCTTCTATGTTAATAAGTATTTCATTATCTAGTATGTTAGTCTTTGATTTGTTGCACTCAGTTACGTTGATACAATGTAACTCATTGAAACCAAGTTGCTGTCCAATTTTCACTATGTTATTAGTGACTTCAGCAAAATGAGTTTCAAAACCAATGAAATCATTTGCACAATGTGGTATTATATGTTTCCATACTGCCCTCATATTGCTTGCCGTTAATTCATGCCATGCTTCGCCTATATTTTTGATAACGTTTCTGATGTAGCTCTTCCAAAATTCCATTAAAGTAGTGCTCTCCCCACCTCCTCCAGTGATAGCTGTCAGAGCTCAAGAACGAACGACCCAAGCAGAGGTACATACATACACAACAGGGAACCCCAGAGAAAATTGAAATATGTATCGTATCGCATAACTTTAAAACCACATAAAAATAAACCGCACAGAAAGAGACTTGACTGTATAAAGGGAGAAAACCGATCATTTATGTATTAAAAATAATTTTGTGTACTAATTTTTTGGAATTTATTTTTATTTTGCTCAATTAAAATTTAGTTTGTTTTGAAATTTTCAAACTGGACTATAGTGAATCCGGACTGATCGAAGCCGGACTATGCTGTATTTATGGTTTTCATTCATACACATCTGATGATGTCAAAAGTGACTCAAACATGTAATTTGTTTAATATAATAAACTGATTGACTGAATTTCACTTGATCTCATTCATTTTACTATACAATGATCAAATGATGTTGTGTTACGGTGCAAGAATTTTAATATACTGTGTTTGTGTCCAGGAGGAAGACATCTTGAAAGAACATCTGGCTGAAGCTATTGCACATTGCTGTGCTTGGGGTGTGAACTGCCATGAGTTTGGATGCCTGGGAGCTATCACACCCTTGGTGAACTACATGAACTCCAAGGACAAGAAAGTTCATCGTGCTACTGCCTACGCACTGCACCAACTGTCTGCAGATCCCTTCAACTGTATAACCATGCACCAGAGTGGTGTTGTATCTGTAGGTGTCACTGAATGCCTCCTCTAAGTTCCTCTTTAATATTATCATATTTATGGAAGGTCTGCAGAGTGATATGTATTCAACAGATTTTTCCATCAAAATGTTGTGTTTATTTCTTGATTGTCCTCTGTATACCAGATCAGATGTATTGCCATCTGAACCTTCCTGATTTAATGGCCCTGACAATATTACTAGTAGATGAAATGTACAAATTATGAAGTTTGTTATAGTGTACTTTTTCCATTCTTCTGCGATTTCTTCTTTCTTGTACAAATATTCTCCTCATCACTTTATTCATACATACGTAACATCAGTCTGCATTCTTCCCTCATACTTATGCAATAATACTCGTTTGTTAATATGCTTCATAATTGAAATGAATGTTGATAATTAAGCTATTGAGTGCTTGACGATGAAATGTCTGTCACTGCCATGCCTCTCATACACCTTCATGAAATGGTGCTTAGGCATAGGGGAAACTTTACTTTGTGAGATTTTAGGTTCTGAAGATAGTGACAATGAAGATACTGTGTTCTGGGAAGTAATGCCATGTAGTTTGGTACACTGATGCCAACACTGTGACTCGTTCCTCTAACCTGAAGATGAAGACAGCAAGTTCATCCAAAACATTAATACTGTAGTGTGTACACGCATTACTGGGTAACTACCTTGAATCAAACAACGAAACATTCGCTGCTAGGCAACAGATTCTTAATAGCAACTGTTACTAGATAATGTTTTTGCAAACAGAAACGTTCACACCTGTCTACAGTCACACAAAAATGTGACAATACCTGTCTCCCAAACTACATGACATCCCAAAAGACTTTTATCCTTTTAATATTTTACTGTTTCTGAAACCTATGAAAATGTCAGTATAAGTTAATTAAGTACACTATTTGAATAATTCATTAATGTTCCTTCCGTTTTGCATTATGTATTCCAGTTCCTTCTGGAAACTATTGGTTCTTCAGACGAGAAGCTTCAGGAGGCATCTGCAGGTTGCCTCAGCAACATCAGGAAATTTGCTCTAGCTGCTAAGAATAACTACAAACAGTGTTGATTTTCTCTATTTCTGTCAAGAAAGTATCCTTTAACTCTTTTGATTGATATTACTCAGTACCTCCAATTTTATTGGAAGGATCTATCAAACTCCTTCCAAAAGTCATGATTTTTTGGCTTAATATTATTATTAGTTTTCGGTACTACATTATAGATTCATACAGATTTATTTGTCATTCAGAAATGTATAATATACATGCGTATATACATAATTTCTGTATGGTAACACATGCACAGAATGTTCAGTATACTGGATATGCTGTAATATAAATCAGCTTCTATGGTGCAGCAATGTCACCATACAAGGCTGCCTCTACAAGAGGAAAGAGATGAGTAGTGGATATAGTCTGTTTAAACTCAGATGAAAGGGAAAGTGAAAGACTGTAAAGTTTGTTGCAGAGCAAATGAAAGCACCATCGAGGTAAAAAGGTAAAGCTCTCCCTAGACTAAATTGATCACCACACCATGAGGCTGTATGGGGGATTGGAGATGTAACCCCATGCATTTGGGTCTCAGTCGTAGATGGAGGTGAATGGTCACCTTTACACTCCAGTATTGGGTAGAGTCTGGGTGACACCCAAAGAAAGTCTGGATGCTTGAAGAGAATAATCTCTTGCTCCTGCCAGAAATGAACCCCAGTCAGTAAAATTCTAGTATAATGAGACCCTGTGGCAAGCAGTGTCCCCCCCTCACCCCCCAGTACAATTTCTAAGTGTGCTTTTATTGCATTGAATTATATATTATGTTTATGAAAATACTACACTTTGAAATACCAAATATATTTTGTGGACCCACAGAAGTGGTAAGAATTTCCATATAACTTGCTACAGAGCATTACTTAATATGATACATCATGAAACATAATTACATCTGCATTGTTAAATAAGCATGAAGTGAACCTCTTCTGGGAAAATTTATATACTCTTTTTCAATACAGTCAAACACTTCTCCCACTTTCATTCTAAGGGCACAAGTTCCTCAAAAAATAAGTAATTTTTTCTAACTGTGTAGCAGCACAAATGGTATCTATAGTTTTGCTTCTGAAGAATGCCTTTCCCTACAGAAATTTCTTCAGGAATGTGTAAACCAAATCGTCCTTTGGAGCCATGTCTAGACTGTAGGTTCATAATCTGTTGTAGAAAACTTATTTCTTCAACTTGCCTTAGTGTCTTAGTAGAGTAGAAAAATGTGTAAGGGAAGAAGAGAAGGAACACTATTAATGAAGATCAGTGAAAACTGTAATTAAAAATTGTTATTATTGGAATACATTCTGCTGTTTGAGATTTGTATGTGAATATAACAAATCTGTCATGTCTGCTGATCCATCATTTTTCTTTGAGAAGGACTGTCCTTGGCTAGATTTTAATATAACTTCATATAAATGTTCTCAGAAAAATACTGTTACATGTTAGTAACTAAGCAAAGGTTTTGGACTGGTAATTGGATTTACTGAAATCTTACAACATGTAACAACCAGTAGCTATAATGCTATTGCTAATCTACACATTTTACAAATTATCACAGCACACGCTGCTAAGTCTTCTCAGTTCACTATATCTTCATGTACCCATTACTTGGTGGTGGCCTTCAGCAGTGCAGATTCCCTTTACTGCTTATGCACCCAAAATCTCTTGTTCTCATTGGCTGGCAACTGACTTGCAAGTAACTAATGACTCTGTCTACTCTCCGATGTGTTTACCCAGCTGTCACCTCACAATGGACCATGTAATCATATCACAGTAAACCAAAATATACATTCTGACTGCATCATATTAAACCCAGAGTTAATCTGTGAGTTCATTCCATTTAACATGCCAATAAATATTTTAGGCATGTGTGAGAATGACTTCTTTAGTTCCAAACAAGAATTTGCTTACATTTCTAGAATTGAAACAATAATGAGAAATTTCTCTAACAGAACATTTTTTTCTCTCTAAAAGTTCATAACAGAAGACATTTTTCACAGTGCACGGAAGCATACTATAGCATTTACTCAAATGGATTGTGATTCCAAATGTAAGATGATCCCACCCTAGGAAACATGTCTGCACAGAAGTAATTTAATTAATTATTTTCATATCCCTACTATAGACAAACGAAAAAAGTAAACATTACAAAATGTGTTAGACCTGACCTATTGTGTCCTATAGTGATTTGTGAAGTGTGTAGAACAGAGCATAATCCTTACTTGTAGTTGTGAGTTGTAAGAATTCAATAAATTCAATTACTGACCCAAACACTGTCTATAGTCACTAAACTTGTGATAATATTATTTTGCAACCATCCTTATATCTATTTATACCATGATACCATGATTAATATGATTAAAATTTGTAGATATAGGATAATATTAAATTGAAGAAATACTAACATTCAGTTCTACAGTTTATAATCCATAACTGTTTAACAATTGTTAACAATCTAATACTTGATGAAAACTTAATCCACCCACAAACCATTAATAATATTGATAGCTTAAAAGACTCATTTGTTTTGTTTGAAATAACAGAGGCCGATTTGATTAAAATAATCCACAGTATGGCGAATAAAAAGTCTGCTGGACTTGATGATATCTCTCCTTATTTGTTAAAATTATGTATACCTTATACTGCTAAACCGCTCTTAGAATTGGTTAACGCATCAATTAGAGATGGTATATTTCCATCTATATTAAAAAAATCGGTCGTTTCCCCTATTTATAAAGGGGGGACTAAGGAAGATGCAAGTAATTATCGACCTATCACACTTGTTCCTACTTTCTCTAAGGTCTTAGAAAAAGTAATAGTTAATCAACTAATAGCCTTCTTAGATAAACATAATATTTTAAATAAATTTCAGTTTGGTTTTAGAAAGAAACATTCTACTAATGATGCTATTGCCACAGTTATTGAAAATATAATAGATAACTTGAATGATAAAATAAATTGTAATTGTGTCTCTTTAGATCTATCAAAAGCATTTGATTGTATTCAGCACAACATTCTTATGGATAAATTATATAAATATGGTGTCCGCGGTATTCCACATATGTTAATTAAATCTTATCTTACAAATAGAACACAACAGGTGAAAGTTTTACATAGGGAAACCAATGAAATAAAGGAATATCTATCGAGTAGCCTGCCAGTTAAATTTGGAGTCCCTCAGGGATCAGTTCTTGGTCCTTTGCTTTTTATTTTATATATAAATGACTTTCCTCACCTAACACAAGGTAGATCTATAATGTATGCTGATGATACTTCAATCTTGAATATGGGACAGAATATAAATGAACTCCAATATATAACTTCAACTAATATTGGAGTTGTGGAAAAATACTTTGAGATGAATGATTTATTCATAAATCCAACTAAAACGCACTGCATTTTTTTTCAAACAAAGCAATGTAGGCAGGACTATAAATATAAAATTTTAGTTAAGAATATGGAAATAGAAAATGTGAATAGTATAAACTTTTTGGGTGTGGAAATAGACAGCACCTTGAGTTGGGATGTTTATATTGATAGAACCTGCAGTCGAATTAGTCGTAACTTGTTTTTATTAAATAGACTTGCTAAATTATTAGACCTAAAGGGCAGAAGAATGTTGTATTATGGCTTGATCTTCCCCTTTTTATCATATGGAATTGTAGTATGGGGAAACAGTGCTAAGGCACTTACTAAAAGAATTTTTATTCTTCAAAAAAGAGCCGTACGGTACACTGCTGGGCTAAAACCCTTAGAATCTTGTAGAGACAGTTTTGTACAACTAAAGATTTTAACATTATATTCAATGTACATATTTCAAACCATTTTATATGCAACTAATAAGTGTAACTGTACGGTAAATAAACAAGTACACACTCACAATACTAGAAACAAAAATGACTACCATAAATGGGTGCATAACTTAGAACTTTATAACAGCAAACCTTCTGTTGCTGGCTGTATCTTTTATAATAAATTACCCAATAGTATTAAACAGCTTGACAATAAAAACCAGTTTATAAGGGAACTTAAGAATTTGCTCATAAATAGATGCTACTACTCAATTGATGACTATATGAATGATAAATTCTGTAATGCTGGATAGTTATATATGCTGCATGTGATATTGCATTACATATTTTGTGAATTTGTTGGTTTATAATTTGTTGTAATTTTGTTGGTTTTATAACTCGTTTCATGAGATATGGCCTACTTTAATGTAGTCTGATCTGTGGTATGGGTAAATATGAATTAATTAATGTATAGATAATTCTGAATTATTGGAATTGTTACATGTTTGATGTAAATACTCATTGCATATTTGCGCGTTTATTGGTTTTGATTTTATTGCATCTTGCTAATTTTATAATTTATTTGAGTGAATGAATGTTTGGATAAATTCTGTTATGCTGCATATTGATATATGCTAGATATGATAGTCATTATATATTTTGTGATTTTATTTGTTATGAATTCTCGCACCTTGCTAATTTTATAATTTATTACTTGTGGCATGTTCTACACCTGTGTGGTCCGATCTATGTATAGTAAATATTGAATATATGAATGTATGGATAAACTATGATATATTACATTATGATACATGCTAGATGTAAATAATCATTATATATCTTGTGTGTTTACTGGTTTAGAATCTACTGTATTTTGTTAATTTTATATTTTATATTATGTGACATGTCCTATATCAATGTAATCTGATCTACAGGATGAATAAACATGAATGAATGAATGAAAAGCCAGCTACAACAGTCCATAAAAATAAACTTTAGTAGCACAGCACATTAATTCACATATGAAACTGAGACTGTCCCATAGACTCTAAAACATATGGTGACCTTAAATTACACATCCACACAATTTAACTGGCTCACATGGAACACTATACTTGAACCTAAGACTGGACAACATAAAGCCTCATCTGTTAGCAGAAATTCATTTTAAATCTAAATACAGGTGGAATAATAATAGGAAACATGCTGAAATTACCAACACCTTATACCAATTAGAAATGCAATTGTTATGTGCTATAGTCACCTCCTCTGTTTCTATTCATGCATGGTAAGACAGAGAAATTCAAAACAACACTTTTTTCAATGCAGTGTTGTTGTAAATATAAGCTTCAAATCTTCAATGTGTAAGTGAACTGATGAAACTGATACATAGAATAATCATACATGATGCACTGTAAAACTGGGTGACTTCTTAATTGACAGCCATTTCTCGATTCAGGATATAAAACTCTGTATACAGAGTGATTCAAAATTCTAACACAATGTCCAAGTAGCTTGTTGGGGAGCTCATATACCCCTGAAAATTAAGTTTTTCAGATTTTTCATCATAAAGGAGCTGCAAAGTTTTTACATCGATATCACAACATATTACTGTGATTGTCAACTTTTATAAAAATGGAGATAATTCTTTTTATCATAACATGTCAATCATTTACCTTGTTTGCAATTAAAGAAAGAAGGAAGGAAAGGACAGTCTGTCCTTTGTAGCATTTTTCAGTCATCACTTAAGTGTCCTTTTTGAATACATTCTGATCATTTGGTGAGGAACTATTCCCACCACTGAATGTACGTCACAACCAGTGTTTGAAGTGTCATGTCTGCACCTGAAAACATGCCTCACAGCCATGAAGAACTGAGTCCCTGTCTGTAACTAGTTGTGTAGGTAGATTCTTAAATTCTGTGCAATTAATTAGATTGCCAGGATCTCAAACTTCCATTACATAAACTTTNGGGGGGGGGGGGGGGGGGGGGATAAGATTGGAGGTACGTTTAGGCCAGGCAATCAGATCTCCATGCCCAGTTGATGTATTAGGAAAGTAGCCAATTGCACATTCAGTCTGCAAAATAGGCAGGGGCACTGCCATGCTGGAATCATATGCTCTCGCACACATGCAGCAGCACATCATCCAATAAACGTCAAAGTGTTTCTTCAAGAAAATCAATGCAGTGTGATCCCGCTGAGACAGTCCTGTACTACATATGGTCCATTTACTCAATCATCTAATGATTCCAGCCAAAACACTGATGTGCTGGAATGAGAAGCGACAAGAAGTAAGAGGGTTCTCATTTGTCTGTACATGCAAGTTCTGCAGATGGTGTCGATTCCTTCATCAGTCCATGAAAAATTGAGGGGTTTTCAGTCTTAGCACATCGTGGCTCTAACCACTGTACTGGTTATACATGGAAAGCATACAACTGATTCTCATGCAAAGTGTCTCATACTGCACTCTGAGAAAGCCCTACTGCAGAAGAAATCTGATGAGAATTAGCTGATATGTCATAGTATAGTTTACAAAAAATCCTCCTCATCTCCCATACTGCGCCTTTCATGACTAACACATGGATGTGGCACGGGACTGCTCTTTTCTCACACATTATAATGCACCTTTTCAGATACACATTGGTAACATTTTCTCTGATCTGCATATAGATGCTGATATTCCTTCGTTGCAGCAAAACAATCTCCATCCCAAAATCTGTACATGACATTCAGAGCTGAAAATCGTACATTAGTAAATCTAAACATTTTTGTCATTACCACTGTTCATGATACTGGTACTACTGTCATAGTTTGACAAGTGTTTGACATCACCATAACCATGTCATAACTCTGAAAACGAGGTGAATCTGAAAAGAATTTTTATTTACATTTTCAACCCCAATTGATCTCCTAACAACTTCCTTAAGCACTGTACTACAGCTTTGAATCACTGTGTATAAGTAGGGGTGTGCTGCACACTTGTTAACATGCAGCTCACACCAGCAAGCAATATTCTTCTTTTGTTCTTAAGTAAGTTTAAATCAAATAAAATAATCCATACATACATTTATATTATTTAAATATACAGATTTACATAATGAGCAAGTTTCTTACAACACTATGAATGTTTGTTAAAACTGTTTGCTAATTGGCCAGAAATTCACAAGGGACTACCCTCTCTGGGCCTTCTGCAGCACATGCCTGTACATAAATAAATTTATTTACAACACTGCATGAAATCAGCAAGCTTCTTGAGAACCTCACAGTATAGTATTGGTCTTCCCTCTCAAGTGTAATACAAAAACACACTTTGCCACAGTACTGCTTAGGGGCATAAGCATGTTCAGCTGTGCATACAGAAGGTTTTGTCAGGATAAAGTTTAATTGTTTCTGTGCAGCATATATTTGGTTAATTTGAAACTTTGAATGCTTCTACCAGTGGTAATTCAGCTGAATGTGTTAAATATAAGCCGAATTACAATGGGTTAGAGAAATATGAAGTTATTAAGCAGCAAAGCAGAAATATGTCACACTAATTAAAAAAAAAAACTACTGCCGAAACCCGGGATCGAACCAGGGACCTTTAGATCTTCAGTCTAACGCTCTCCCAGCTGAGCTATTTCGGCCTTTTTTAAAAATTTTAATTAGGAAACAGATAAAGATAATGCTTATTTTCCTCTCAAAGCAACGCATAATGCAAATTAAACGTAATGTTTACGCTAATTTATAACTTAAATACGATTGCAAGCAAAGAATATATTGAAGAAAGCCTCAAATCTTACAAAGAATATATTTCCAGTAAAAAAAAAAAAAGTAAAGCTGTCCCAGTAACAGGCCGTGAAGGCCCATAGGATTGTGAGACGTTGAGGGTCCCACATTATCTAGACCGATCTAGACAATCGGCTCAATGATGGCGGTAAGGTTGTCAGCCTTACGCGCCGGTAGCGCTTTACTCCCCAGAAAAAGTATTTAATTAATTCCTGGTACTCATATCAGTTAGAGGCTGAGTCGACCCCAGCGCCGTAGTGCGGCTGGAAGCATGTTTATGTACAAATGATTATACACGCCTAGTCTTTAAGTGCAGTTTCTCCATCAGCTTAAAAACAATAAGGCTGAAAAAAAACACAAATTCACATCATAAGAAAAATAAATAAAAATAGGGCCTGTCCGGGAATTGAACCCGGGACCTCTCGCACCCGAAGCGAGAATCATACCCCTAGACCAACAGGCCAATGACGCAATTTTGTCATATTAATGACACACATAGGAGATTAGTTTATTTTCAGCACTATTTACTCTGTAATACTGCAGTATATAATTTTATTCTTTTTAATTTTGATAACACTACAAATTATTTACACGTATTACTTCAAACTATGCTCACCAGATGGAAGAACGCAGGTTCCGGTTATGTCACTGCACACTAGATACGCTAGATACGCACCACATTCATACTCTGCAGTTATCGCGGTCTGGCGGCAAGACTGTCCGCGATCTTGAAAATGTTTAAAAAGTAATAGAACGTAATACCGAGAAGCTGCGGTATGAGATCAAATACAAAACTCAAGATTATGTGCCGGCGCGGACAAAATCCTACCATTTATGAAGTGTATCACACGAGTGACTGTACGGAGTTTCACGTTCACGCGGAGAAACTGGTTAAATTTATCAAAATCATGTGATGTGACTTTGTGTAGTTGGTAGATGGGTTGCAGTGTTTCGGAAGAACTGATATCTTCATCTTCAGGGTAACTGTGGCTTCTGTTAGTTCGATAAATTGGTACCGATGTTGCGGAAGAGCCCGTTTTTGTGATTCTTGTATCTCTAAAGATGGTGGCAGCGGTTTCCTTTGAATCCTGATATCCATCCTCAAAATTACATGGAATCGCAAACACAAGACCGTTTTCTTTGACACTTTAGTGATTATGCTGATCCTGCTTTTGGGTGGTCACGCTGTTACTTTTCACTGTGCATGCAGCGTTTCAAAGGAGCCTTCCTAGTGAACAGCAGTCCAAGTCACTTTACGACGTTTACGACTGCCAGCCCGCCTTGGTATTGAGGGTATTGACCACGTTCTGTGAATTATGACCGGAGGCTTAGTCGTTATGCAGTGTCCTGTCTGAGAGTCAGAGGCGAACAATATATGAATGAAACGCATAGTAGAATTCAAAATTTAAACTAGGACGCGGAAGAATAAATGATTAATGCGTACTGTTGATTATGTAACATTCTGATCTTATATATAACTAAAATAATCATTAAGTGAAGTGAGAGGAATGGCGCCACCTGAGGTAATGCCACCATCCCTCTTTTAAACCAGATGGTTATTTTGGAGTCGTTTTAATTGTATAGGTGTATTCAAACCGTTCAGACGTTCAGACAGAGCATACAAACAGCAGAGAGCCATTACTTATGGACTGTAGCGTTGCGTTCGTTTGTTGCTAAAGAAGATATCAGCACGGAGAGTTTACATCTAATCTTTCACGGTGGCAAGGGGGAAGATATTGACACTTTTGTATTCAATGAAGAGTTCCATCTTCGGTGATATGACGCAGTGTAGTCTGTTGACAGGCAACTGCCGTTTTGGAGGAACATGTGGCTTCCATTTCCAGAATTGAAGAGTAAGCTATGCGGGAAGCCAGCATGAAACATGGTTTCAGGTTGGCTTACTCTTCAACCCTGAAGATGAAGGCGACATCTTTCTCCGAAACATTGGTTGTCTTTCAGCTGGCTACACGGCGTTATATTCCGGAAGTCAGAACTGTTCATGACCACCACTTTGAGAACCTAAAATTGCATTCCGTATTAAAGTTTTGTGAATAATGTTCGTGAACCGACACTATCCTTATGGACATTTAAACTATGGACGTGTTCTATATCTGAGGCAATATCGCCAAATGTGGATCCTGTGTACAAATAAAAAATGAATGAATGAATGAATGAATGTGAGGATTCCGGACCGACACAAGATTACAGTTTTTCTTCGTTTTTCTTAGCCCGTATGTTTATTAATTTTCGGGTTTATTATTCACGCTATGACGGTCAGATGTTAATGGTTTTGTATGAAATCGCTGTCGACTTTAATTTCAGTTAAGTTTGATTATGAAAATCATGTGTCGACTTGTACTGCAACTGTTGGCGGCACTGTCAATTTAATTTGACGTAGTTGAAGCGTGATTTAGATTAATCAAAAAGTGCAAGTGGACGCAGTAGAAATTGTCGTTATGGCGTTATAGCTTTCACAATTGGTTTCGTCGTCGTTGCCCAATAGATAAAGGTTTATCATTGATGTAATTAACTTTTTTGTAGATATTTTGCAGGAAGTATCACATACACCGAGTTCAAGAGAGAATACGTAAACTGAATTTTATAAATTAACGGAGTGGAAGAATGAACTACTTTTGCCGATTTATTATTTTGTTTATCGTCACCCATATTTTTGAAAGCGTAGCCGTGTCAGGTAAAATACTGTTTGTTTAAGCTGGAATGCTGAAATTATTATATATGCCATAATAAACCAGCTAATAAAACAATCTATTTTAACTGTATTTTGACAAGACACGTCTGTCGTTTTTAACCTGAGTTTAATTTCAGAAAGGACATGTTCTGTGCACTTGGTGGACCACGAGTGCCCAGACCCTAATGAATCTTGTAATCAACAGAAGATTAGTGACAGTACTGGTGTGTGCAAGTGTAAAACGGGATACACGAAGCGAAGTCCCACAGAATTATGTATGCAGATTAAAACAGTCACTACCACTGGCCCACATTCCGATGATATGACCACAACACCAGAGCCAGAATATTCATCTAAAATATCAGGTAATGAGCAGTGGCACTGTTGAGTATTCAATGAAGTGTTCTCAGGTGATGAAGTGTGTGAATGTGGAATGGGTGTCTTGACATTTAAAAAACATTCAATCATTAGGGATTTATGTTGAGTGTCATGTTCATAGACTGTATTTATGCAAAGGCCTATCATCTGCCTGGCTTGGATGATGGGTGGGACAGTGGGTGAAGTCAGTCATTGATGTCTTGACCCAGTGCAGATCACTTGGGTAATAGTCAAGGCACTAGAATTTATGTTACTATTCTCTGTTCCTTCTTTGCAATGTATTTGAATTATTGTAAGTATTGTTATTAAGTATTCTGCCCCTATTTTATTTACTAAATCAAGAACAACTCCATTTTAAAACATTTAACAAATATTTTCAGTGAATTAAATGCATTGTAATGTTCTTTTGAGAAAGGTGACTTTGTTACCTTATGAACGGAATATTTTACAATTTTAAAAAAGAGCAACTGCAATTAAAAGTTAGAGTTGTTCAACTCAAGAATTCATTCTGACAGTTCAGAGTTTGTTCACTAGTTATACTGTTGATATGTCATTAATGGGTTTATTGAATTTTGATGTTCCATATAAACTACCAGCTGGATTAAATGTGACTTGAAAAAAGCTGCTCATACTGCATTTATTGCGCATGAGGTTTTGCATTTCTTGAGTGGAACTTAACTTCATTCCATATCAAAAATAAAGTAGAAAACAAAGTAAATGTTGTTCTGTAACTGAGATATAGGAATCTGGAAAACAGTTGAAAACTGCTGCAGTATTCCCATTCTTTCATGAATTGAGACCACAGTACATTGCACTGCATTGCATTCCCTAAATCCAGAGTTAGTCAAAATGACTGTAGGATGTGAAATACGTCATATAGATACAAAAATATATGCACAATACAGCTGAAATTTTCACACAAGAAGCCCCATACACATGAGGCTATTCAAATATACATCCACGTATATACATCAATACCGTGAACTTATGCTATTTACTCAACTTTTAAATGGATGAGTCATTTTTTTTTAGACAGTAATCTTTTAGCAACAGAGTAAAATGAGTGTGTGCTTAATTATTATTTTAGTTTTGTTGTAAGCCTATAGTAATGCTGCCTCTTAGCCTCACAGCAAGCAGCATACCGGTCACCGTGAAGGGCAGAGCCATGGACACAGTCTACACTGCATAAATATTCCCTGTAGTATATAACACACTGGTGGATCCACTTGGTTTACATGGGACATTTACACTAAGATCATGATAGAATAACTGTAACTAAAAACCAGACCTGTATCAAAACATGTCATTTTAGACAGCAAACTTTACCTGCTAGAAATTGTAATTTATAAAGGAAAACAGACTGGGAGATGATGTTCTGGAAATTATGCCTCTAGAAGAAGGTACTGCAGAATGGTATATGATGTTTTCCAGTAACCTACTGGTACTGCTACTGGTACACTGGTACTGCTCCTAATCTGCTTGGAAGACAACGCTAACTAATATAGAAACTTGGACAGTGTGGGCCATATAATTGTACATGAGCTAAATATAAGTATCTTGAGTGCAGTAGAAAATGGGAAACATATTAAGGATCTTGATTCTGTTCTGAAGAAACTGTACCATTTCTGCTGGTACTCTCCAAAGAGAATGTGACAGCTGAAAGCCATCACATGAAAATCCAGAATTTTCAGTACTTACTTAATGTTAGATTGGAGGCAATGAAAGTAGGAGCTCTTGCTGCCCTTGTGAAAGGCTGGAAGTGTGTCACTGTTCACTTAGAAAGTGTCATTGCAGAAAAATGCTCCTGCTGTTGCTAAGGGTTTGTTAGGGTGACTCACTGATTTAAAATTTATTCAGATGCTCTATTTTCTGCTGATTTCTTAGGAACACATTTCACCTACCTTGCAAAGATGTATGAGATGATTAATACATTATTAGCCATGGCTAAATGGGTAATATGTAGCATGTACGTGGATTTGTATGTATAAAGTTAGAGGTACATACATACATATTCATGGTACAGTCATTAAGTTCGTGGACTATGGTTTTATCACATCATAATACAAGGTAATATGTATATATACAGCCTGTAGTGGATCTGGTTCCATTTAAGTCTTCTGAATTCTGCTATTAATATTGAAGCTCTTTCATTTGTATTGTATTGTATGGGATGTGACTGTATGATGTCATCTGCATTAAACACTGAATCCGGGGAAATCAGTGCTTCCTGTATAAGATTCTTGTCACAAGATGCTAACAGCTACCGACTGCTGTGGCAGGTTCCACTGTTGCTACCAGTATTCTGATTCCATTACTGCTAGTTGTGGCGTCTGTGGGATTGGTGTATGCTGCTCGCCGCTATCGGTGGCTCCACAAGCTTCATCATCTGAGACAGCGGCGCTATGATGAGGTGCGGATTGGTCAGGAAGATGATGATGATCCGCCGATTGCATGAATGTAACATATTAATTGTCATAGGAGTCTTAAAATATAAGACTGGAAACCAAGGTGTGGGTGTCTGAGTGGGCGTGGACTGTTCTAAATGTTAATGTTATCTACTACGAGGGTGAGTAAGGTGAAACCTTAAAAGTGCGAAAAATCAAGATCCTAACAGTTCCAATGGGACTACAATCACCAGTTCAGAATGCTGTGAACTGCTGAGTACTGGTATTCTGTTGCTGCATGACAGTGCTAGGCTATATACTTCCTGCGTGTCAGCTGAAACAATCAGGGAAGTTCCATTTTGAGTGTCCCCCTCATCTGCCTTACTTGCCTGTTTTTGCCCCTTGTGACTACCATGTGTTTGGGCTGCTTGAGGAAAGACTTGATCTGATGAAAAGGTGCAAGAAGCAGTGCATGAGTGGCTACTCATGCAACCAAAGGATTTTTTCAGAAGGAATCTGGGCATTAGTGAAGGGCTGAAGGACGTGTATTGAATGCAATGAAGACTTTTGAAATATGACAAAGATGTACCAAACCTGTTTGCACAAAATTATTTGACAAACAGATTTTAAGGTTTTCATTTGACTCACCCTTATGTGTGTACAGTTTTCATTACAACACTCAATGTGGTTGTAATATAGTGATATTTCAAGATATTTTATGCAACTTTTGTAGTGAATGAAGTATTAGCACAATAAATTTATGTCGCTATGAAAGTAAAATTACGTCACATTTTTTTAGCTGTTCTCCATTTCCACCACAAGATTTGAGAGTGTGCCAGTTATAAGAATACGTGGATCTGTGTCTGCTGTTCACAACCAGAATGGATATTTAGATAGAGGTGTAATTTACCTTTTGTTGTTCCTTCCATTGTCAGGAGATACATAACAAGTATATTTATTGTCTTCTGAGATGTGACGCTTGTGTTGTTTGGCACAAGTCTACCAGTGCTTTGGAGGAATATACTGCCTATATCTTCTCCTTCTCTGAAGCTGAAGGCAGTACATTCCTCCAGAACATCAGTAAACTTCTGCCAACTATGCAGTGTTATAGCTTCTACTGTGAAAACCTCAAATCAAACAAACCTGAACATTCTTCATGTATAAGCACATGTGCCTTATTTCTTGGGTGGAAGGAAAGATAGATTGAATAAAGGAATTAGTAGTGCTTAATGGTGAATTCTTTGTTAACTTGCACATAGTGCCTCACCATTGTTTCATGCAGTATGAGCTTAGACAGTTTTTGAAAGGGATTTTGTTCCCACTCTGACATACACAAGACTTGGAGTAAGTTTTACATGTAGTAGTGGTTCAGCATAATGACAGGAAATCTGTGTGTTTGCTAGTATTGGGGCTATTATTGTAATTGGGAGCCTTTTAAGATTAGGGCTTGCCAGAGCTCAGGTATGTTTGCCTTGCTTGAGGTATATAACATGGAATTCCTTTCAACCAGCCACTTTAATGTGGACGAAATGTGATAAGACATTGATTATGGAGTTAATCACATATTAATTTAAATGCATTGATTATATGGGACTCGGTTGGAATGATTATGCATATAATTTGTAATCTTCTCAGCACCAAACACTAACCTTAACCTGACTTTTGATTGGCAGCAAGCGAAATGTGCAGTGTATAGTATTTCGCTTTTTTGAAATAACTTAAAATAAGTGTTTTAGTACCTCCTGTTTTAAGTTTTGTGTTTGAAGTGTAACAAAGATATGTTTAGGGGCACAACAGTTGTTCATAAACCAATATTGAAATGTTTTAATTTTAATGTTGGTTTATAATCAGTTGTATCAATGGCCCCAAAGTATACCTTTGTTGTGTGATACACAACAGGATGCAGAATATAAAGGTTTGTAACAGTTACAAGACCATTTTTGTCATTTATTCGCAGATTCTGAGAAAGCGTTAAATGTAGCATACCATACTAGGTTCTATGCACAGCTGAAAAACATAAAAAAAATTGGAAGCTTAAACATATCCTCAGGCTTACAAAACTTTTTGCAGACTTCCAGGGTTGTAGAGGTTAGGCTTGCTAAGAATAAATTAGAATAAAGTGATATGTATGATACAGTCATGCATTCTCTTACATAAGTAGTGTGCTGTAAGTATATAATCCCAGTGGTCCAAAATTTATTGTTTAGCTCTTGTATAATTAAGTAACATACTGACTTTACTAAAATGCATTAAGAATAATTTTCACAATTGTAATAATCCACCTTCAGGTGGATGTGTCTAAAATTAAGTACAAATTAAATATTTCATCTGCACTAGGGGCTTTGTCTGGCATACAAGTGTTACTCATTTGCTGTGGATCTTTGTATCTTATTTATTATTAAGAAGAATGGTAAGACTTTTTGCACATTTCATTTCATTTATTCTTTGAATTCAATAAATCCTTATTGGCGAAGCCTAGGATGTTGAACAAGTCACAGTGAAATCAAACATACACAAGAACAGTTCATAAAATAGAACTCAGTCACATACAGAGCAGTCATAAAACGAAATTATACATAGTGATAATCAAAACACAAAAAAGTGGAAATTGTTCACGTTAAAATCGATTAAATTACAACCCATAAAAGCTTACACAACACAACATATACATTTCACACGATTTAAATATTAAAATATACTAAAAGTTCAGTTAACAAATACAAACATAAAATATTGTAACGTGTTTCGTTACAGAATAGGCCGTAGAGATGGTTAATTGGTTTATTTAACAATCTACAAATAACGGCTACAATTAATTATCACAACGTTACGGGTTTCCACAGTTTACAAACCCTACAACACAATCTCTTAACACTGTCTTCAAGAGTCTTCCAGTATTAATAACGCGGGAGCTATACAAGTCTCCCTGAATTACACACTCCGAGTATAACTGTACTACAGCACTCACTATGTCTGGAAAGCACACGAAAAGTCTTCCGCTCGCTGACTTCTTAAGTATCGCACACTCGCAGGCTGCTATGTTTCAACTCGGCGACTGTTACTTTATAACTGACTCGAAGCCACTGTGCAGCTCACTTATATAGCTGCAGTGCTTGCTTGTTGCGTAATGAGGGCCACGTCATCCTGTTATGTCACCGCGCATAGCTGCCAGGATGCGGGGTGATTACTCGCCTATTACGCGAGCGTTACGTTACCGCTACGTGCAGCTGGGGAGGTAGGGGTCAACATGTCACAATATGTTAATTACATATAGCTTTTTCATTCATTCATTTGCATGTTGATAATATTCATTCATAGAATAAAACATGTAACTTGATACAAAGTAAAGAGCCCTTATTAGATACAGACACTGACATAGCATGAAAAATGAACATGACAAATTTTATTTTTACTTTTCTGGGGCTTCTGGATTATTTGTATCACTTGTCCAACATCTTCACTTGGAGGTCTGAGAATTCATATGAAATTATCCCAACTAAATTGAGAATGTATCGTTTATAAAGTGTGCCCTGATGCAGAAAGTTAATAGTCATTTATAAAAACTGCTGGGATAATGGCCCTTTCTTTGTTGCAAAATAAGAGGTCTCTCACTGTTTATCAGCCAGTTTGTTTGCTTGTTCATGTTCATTTCTGGTGTCTTCTCAGTTATCTGAAACAGGTTCCATTCCATGTGATAATTTTGTCTGGCTGTTGCTGTTCTGTATTTTTCAATTATAAGAGTGATTTACAACTTATTTTTCAGTTTATTTATATGCTTTCTTTTCTAGTGGTGAAGTTTAAGAGACTTTTTCATTCCTCTGGCTTGCAGGCTACTGTGGTTTTGGTTATTCACATGAAGTGAAGGCATGTTGGAAGGAATTCTGTTACATTTAACAGTATTTGTAACCGTCTTTCATAGATGAAATCTTATGTATAGTAAAAGTAATGGTGTGAAATATTTGAGTTACATTTTGTATATAGTTGTATAACATGAATTTATTTTATATAGCCACCACAAAACTAATGTTGTAATTTAAGTGTAATCATGTACAGTGTGTATATTAATTATATACTTTAAGCTACATGTCTTGACCATTTTCGTTTTAGTCATCAAACCTCATATATGTTTCTTACTGAAACCTATATATACCTATGTATATGTGACTGAGAGCAAAGAAGGCTATGTTCTCCAAACGCTGCAGTGAAGTCTGGATGCGATTGAGACGCAGTGTGAGCGCTGGAACAAAACAAATGAAATTTTTTGTCAAGAGAGTTAGATCGGTTGGGTGTCATCTCATATTGAACGGACAAAGAACTCCCTTCGTGAGTCATGTACAACATCTGTATATTTTTCGGTAAGAGGATTAGATACAGAAATCACCGAGTCCAATGCCTTCGCAACATTTATTAGATCATGTCCTTCATTGAAAAGTGAGCGATTAAGCTCTGAGATGAAATGTACTGTCCACAGAGCATTATTTATATCTGCAATGCCGTATGCTTACGTTGAGATTTGTGGCAAATACCCACATTTCGAAAGTACAGGGCCTAGAAATCAAGGTTCTCCGCAACAACACCAATATCCCAAGGCGTAGAGCAGTCTACACCCAGAAGCCACAGAAGATCCTGAAAATGCAAATGTTCAGAAAACTGCATAAGGCGAAGCCCGACGGAACATGAGGATTAAATTTTCCGGCGGCGAAGCTTATGATCGTTGAGGTGCCTAAATTGCCGGTCTAGCGTGAGCTAATGAAAATAAGGCTGAATCTGTTGTGGGCTGACAGGGCCTTATATATATACAAATTGCCAATAGATGCCATGTGCAGTATACAGGGTGTTTCGCGACTTTAGGGCATAACTGCAGGAGGTGATTTGCTAGGTCTTTGTGATCAAAAAAGTTCATATAAATATGTGTCCGATTTTGGACGGTTACGGAGTTAGACCGTTTTTTCATTCCTGTACACGCCCTCATGTGAACCGCGTCTGTCAGCTGGAGGGTCGCTATTTTTAGCCAGCTACAGACAGAGCGTTCTCATTATCTCGACACCTGAGATGTACCTAAGGCGGGGTGGGTTGGTATGTCCGACGCGGTTCACAACCGAGCAGCAGCCTGTGTTGCGGCCGGCCGTGGCATTTTCGGAAATCAGCTTTAAGCACCAATAAATTCAAATTAAAGGTAATTTCACGAAGTTAACTTTACACTCATACTTTAAATGTATCGTGTATTATGCTGGTTTATTATTTTGTTCCGTTTGTCAGTAATCGTTACCTTCTATTCTATGTTTAAAACAGTCGTAACTCCGTAACCGTCCAAAATCGGACACATGTTTATATGAGCTTCTTTGATAACAAAGACCTAGGAAATCACCTCCTGCAGTTATGCCCTAAAGTAGTGAACCATCCTGTATATGTATAGTTGTAGAGGTCGTGACATATAGTTTAGAGGAGGAAGGACGAAATATAGAAAGAAATTGCCTGTGACAAGTGAGAATGGATAGACCCGTCTTGTTATCAGAAAGGATTCCTATTAAAGGCCAAACAGTGAGGCTACTTCAAGACTAAGATCTGGTCATGATGGTCTGAATGGGCTCTAAATTAAAGGAAACTGACTGGCCAACCGTCAGTCGTAAAATTACTTTGAAACGAAGCAAAACGTAAAGAGGAATTTTGTAAAGGTAAAAACGAAGTGGTAGGATATGTGGAAGACGAAGGCGAATAGATGTCATAATAATGGTGGTCCTTTGGTAAGGGTATGGTTATGCTTTAGATGTTACGTGGTGCGAAGACATAACTATTTTTGTGAGAAAAAGAAAACGTAAACTTTAAGTGCCGAAGTTCCCCGTTTATGCCAGTCAGGCATTTAAACTCCGCTAGTGGAAGCGCATGCACAGTCTTAACTATTTATTTTTAAATGTAGTAATTACCAGACAGACTTGAGTAAAACCCTAATAGAGGAATTTAATTGATACCTAAATGAACAACAGCAAATAAAAATTACGTATGAGTTATGCCAAAACTTATCCAAGATCCAGTAATTTTATTGCAGATTCTGCAGATAGGTATGTTAAAACTATATTGTAAAATTCGATGTACGTCTTTTTTGTTGTTACCTGCTTGATGTATATATAGGCTGAAATTATACTACAGTATTCGATTTCACTACTAACACACAAAAAACAGATCGCACTCTGTATCTTAGCCACGATGCAGCTGTCTGCTCATTCAAATAGAAGGGGAAATAAACTTTTGCAGCCCTAACGGAATGCATTAGAACTGAAGAAGGGACCCATCTAGCTTTCTCTTGAATAGCCATGCTTTCATTCTTCTGTCCTACAGTCAAAAGATTCGAAAATCCGAAGAGTGTAAGCAGGGCTAGCAGAAGACCAAATGATTTTATTGCTTCCATCTGTTTTATGACACCAGGGACTGCTAAAATTCGTCAAGTGTTACAAACAGAAATTAATTTATAATGCAGAACAACTCTGTGAAGAACTGGGAAACCATTTTTGCAGTACGCATCAAAATTAAAACAAAAAATTGAAAATAGAGTATAACACTTTGTATTACAAATTTCAAATCTTCCGTTATAATGTGCGACACTATGTTCTGTGCTGATATAAATAAAGTTAATACCATCCATTTATCATAAAAATTGAGCAAGATAAGGCATTTTTAAACACAACGCTTAAAATTGATTAAGCGCCTAATAGGAACGGGCATTTAAACGCAGAGTAGCAACGGGCATTTAAACGCGCACCAACAGCGGGCATTTAAATAAACTCCGGCCAGCTCAAACTTACCACTATTTCGAAGTCCGGCGTTTAAAGGTTAAGAAATTAGTGCATGTAGGAAGCAAGTGGTACTATATGAGGAAGATGAAGGTATAAAATTTGTATAGATCTGGTGGTACATGGGTAGGACATTGGCACAGTATTGGGAATATATGGGTTTCGAGACCGCGGTGTCTTTTGTCAATAGAAATTGAAAAGTGAATGAATAAATGTGATTTTTCTACAGCTATAAACCAAGTCGTATAATATAAGGACGATCGCAGGCAGCTACAGCATAAATGGTATGGTGGTCTAGTGGTTAGGCACCGGCGTTGTAAATGTAAGGTTGGTGGTTCGAATACGGAGCTATTTTTGTAATGAGATTTTTATGGAATTATATAGCGAAATGTAATATGAGGGGAAGATTAAAGCTCAAAAATTTCCGTGGCATCGGTGGCTTATTGGTAAAACACCGGCGTAGTGAACAAGAGTTGGAAGGTTCGAAACCAAGTATAGTTTTGTGATTTAGAAAGTAAGTTAATTGATTTTTCTGGAATTATAGTCGAAGATGTAGCTTAAGAGGAAGATAAAAGAAAATAATTTTCAGTGGTGCTGGTGGCTTAGGGGTAAGACACCAGCTTAGTGTTCAGAAGGTCCCTGGTTCAAAACCAGTAGGATTTTTGTGAAAAATAAAATGGAAAGAAGTTAGGAGATAGGGTAAAGGAGGATGGAGAGATAGAGGGAGGGACCGGGGTGAGGGAAGATTTTTTTTGCGGCCGCTCATTAAGACACTCAACCTAAGCGGGGTTTATTAAAATCCACATGGGATCAAAAAGAAGAAAAATTTGGCCCACCGTCCGCCCACCAACCACCCGCCCTTAGGGGGTGACTTTGACTTATTCATTTGAGACCAAAT